AGTACTGAACAATAAATTTGATTTTCAGATTTAACTTTTACACTCAAAGACACTGTGCTTCCTTTAAAGGAAGCTTACGCAAGATGTCAGATCAATTATCTCAATCCCTGTGAATTATATCAAAAATTTGTCAACTGATAAAATGTTCATCATAAAATCAAAATTGATTTATCAATTGAAACATTTTTGATATCTTTCATAGGAATCGAGATAATTGAGCTCAAAGTTGGCGGTTTGAGCTAGTCTCTGTTAGCGAAGTCTAATATTTTTGGCCCGAATTTTAAGAAAATACTCAAAATTAGATACCTTTTTGTCCTGTAAGGTACTGTAATTTTATATGACCGACATCCATTTTAACAAACACATTGACCTTCCAGAAACTAGAAAAATTCAATAATCACAAATCATCCTACAAATAAACTTTCTAGAAATAAATTCATAATGTGACGTAATCCTCTTGTGAAGATCTACACCTCTCGATTAGGTTTCGACATGCAGAGAATGCCTGTGGAAAATTTGCATAAGTACATGTAAATAAGAGTTTTTGGTTAGTAGTTAGTACTTGGTGACGAATAGAGAGACGTATTGTTGTTAACAAGATTATGGACGAACTTCGAAATGGAGAGAGAGAGAGAGAGAGAGAGAGAGAGAGAGAGAGAGAGAGAGAGAGAAAAGGAACTGGAACTACTGGGAGGTGTGGACTGTTATGGTCATAATACATGACGAAGAGATGGTTAATGTCATCTGAGTAGTTTCAAAGTTTTTGGTCACTAAAAATTCCGACTGTAAGGTGCTTGTTCAGTAGAGCGCAATTGCTTAATTTCAACCCTAAAACCTGTAATAGAAGGGTCCCCGCACTGCCAAGCTTGAGCCAATTTATCTCAGCTGCTATGCAAGATATCAAAATTGGGTTAACAGATGCAATATTTGTGATATTATGATAAGCAATTTATTACTTGACAACTTTTTTTATCTCGTTGACAGCAGTCGAGAAGAATTGGCTCAAAATTAGGGGACCTTCTTCTACAAGTCTTACGTACACCATTTTTTCCAGACTTGGAATTTTCTTTAAATTTGGATGTGCGGCTGAAAAGCACATTTTGAGTAAAAAACAGTTCGTTAAGATTGAAAAATTAAAACTTTCGAATAAAAATTGGGCAGCGCGCAACTGCGCTCCGCTAAACAAAGAGTATAATATTCAAAATTTTAGCTGCGAAGAGAAATCTGATGTTTCATTTACCCACAAATACACAGAAAATCGAAAATCCATCTTCATGCAAATCAAAAAGGAAATGAGGTGGTGGTAACCCGATAGAAAAGGTTGAATCTATGTAATTGAATCTATGAAAACTAGGAGGGTGGGAGGAGACAACAATATGTTTGTGTCTTCCTAGTTTTGGGAATATTCTCTCTCTCTCTTTTTCATATACAATCATTTATTCACAGAGGGCAAAAGGTGTCATTTGATACACATACACAGAAAAATATATATGGAAGAGGAATCGCGAGAAATCGCGGCAGATGAAATCAACGGGAAGTCTGTGATGGATCATACGGGAGGAAAAACGAAGGGGAGTAAAAAGAAACATAAATCAGGTATGCTAATAAAAGATGAATGCATAGATAATTGACTGAAGATGATGATGAGGAAGAGGAGAAGAAAAGATGATGTCAAACGTCTGTTTTTTGAATTGCTGAAAAAAAATGAAGAAGGAATACTGTTGTTGTTATAGATACCTACCTGGTAGACAAATGCAGATGTTGAATATCAATTTTTTGGTATCGGAGGTCCAGATGGCCTTGTATTGTGGCAAACAAACCATATTTTGTGAAATAACTCACCCCGAATTCAGTCGAAAATTGAAAAAAATCAGAGCTTTCAAACATTGAAGAGAGATTTTCTAGGGTTAATTTTCGGAGACTAAGTATGTTACAGTCTAAATTGGTTCCAGAAAAATTTTAATCCGTTTTGAATAACGGGCTCTTGGTCAATAGAGCAAAAATGGTACAGGGCGCACACAATCAGTCGGACTGATAAAAAGCAGGTATATCGTTAAACATAAGTATGAAAATTTGTAGAAATCTTGTTGTATATCGGATCAACGGTTCCTGAAACTTTCAAAGCGTTTCTCAAGTCTAGGGATTGTTATGATTGTCCAAAGATGTCGTTGTGATTTTCATAGATGAGGTAACTTTGACAAGCGATAACTCAGCTCAAAGTTGATCAACTAATTTGAAACTTGGTCACGTTACTAATGAATTATTTGAATTTATACCCTTCGAATTTAGGATCAGTACAATGCTTCACTCGAATTTTATGACAATTCAAACTTGCGTCCGAGATATCATTCGTTATATTGTGTGTGCGTGTTAGCTCAGGAGGTATAACTCCGCTGAAGATGCTTCAAGCTATCTGAAATTTCTAGAAAATGTATGCCGAGAACTTTTACTAAGTTTTATAACGTTGTATTTTGATTTTGAAGCAAATTGAAATTGTTTAGGTCAGTAACGAGTAGCAACATTTTTTTTTCCAAAATTTGAAGCTAATTCAATGAGCTTGCATAGCGACACAAGACACAAATTTTCCGGAAATTTTAATTAGTTTAAATCATTCCTAACCCAGTCATTGCTTCTCAGCCAGAATATACTATTTTTGTCCTGAATTTCAAAACTCCAGAGCCCATTTTCCAAAACGCTTCAATTTTTCTGGACAGACCGTAAATGCTTCAAATCAGAGGTCAAAAGTGACAGTTTGGGTGAGCTTTTACTAGAGGAAATACGGTAGCTACACAACATCTTCGAGAAATTTAATGACTTTCAGAAAGTTTGTATTTCTTCCGTTTGTAAGTGTTATCTTTACTTTTTCCTTTGTTGCTAAAAGCATTTTCTGCTATTTTCTGCAAAATTCCATTCCTGGAAGTTGACTTTTTTGCGGACTTATTGTTAGACTGTGACGTAGAACTTTAATAAAAAATTAAAGTTATCAAGTTTGTCTGCTTGACTTCCAAGTTCAACCTGACACATTGTTCATGAATATCCCATAATTCCTGACGCAAACCAAAAAACTATTTCCACTTACACTATCACTTTTTGAATGACCAAGAACTGATCTCACTTTTTAATTTTCCTTTCAATGTGAATAAAGAAATGAATAGGGGAAAAGTTATTGGTGAAAGGCGTTTGATTTTGATGAAAAGTGACACATATTGGATTAGTTATTATTGGCGGGAGAGATTGCTTTTGCACGCAATGGCTATTTCAAAGAATACAATAACATTAAAATGAAATCGAAACTTTTTTGGTGAAATTAATATTTCGATTCTTTGATTTCTTTTTGGAAGGTGGAAAATTGAAAGGTTGAAAGAAATAAAATGAGGAAAAAATAGCTATAACCATTGGACGCGAACAATCTGAAAATCGAGAAAAAATATTGGTAAAAATCTGAAAAAAAATAGTTCGAAAATGCTCCGCTGGTGATTAAAAATTACTGTCCTGAAATAGAAGAAACTATGAGCCAATTTTCAATTTTTGGAATTTTTGGATTCTAAGCCATGACCTAAATTTTTGAGTTTTCTAGGTCATACCCCAATTTTTTTGTATTTTCTAGGTGATGACCTCATTATTTCAAATATTCTTGGCCAGAACCTAATTTTTTTCTAGGTCACGACCTAATTGTTTAGATTTTTCAGGTCATGACCTAATTTTTTTAGGTCATGATCTAATTTTTTTAAATTTTCTAGGTCACGACCAAACTTTTTGGATTTTCCACGTCATGACCTAGTTTTTTTCTCGGTCATGACCTGATTTTTTCGGATTTTCCAAGTCACGACCAAACTAAAAAAATATCCCAGAGTCATGGAGGCCAATATGACAACACTGTTTTGGTCTTTTTGAACCTTTCCTGATACATTTTTTCTCATTTTACGTGCATTTGGCTTCAACAGAATAATCGTAAAGTCATGAGGTTGGGGCAACTCGAATTCAGCTATATTTTTGTGCTGATCTATATTTTTTCTATCTTATATAATTTTTCAATTTTCAGAATGAAAATTGAATAGAAACTAGCTTTATTTTTAATCTATTATTTTCAGAATGAGTCTTATTTTTTTTATTCTAACATTTTAAATATTTCATTTGAGCTAGATCGATTTTGATTCTTGGTAAATTTATTTTTGTTGACCTAAGCACAGAAAATAAAATGACCTGGTCATTGGATTTTTATTTTTATCTTTTTTTTTGTAATCTGAACTTTCGTAGCTAAAAATATAATGAACTTTTTATGGCCATAAAATATCTTTAACAGGCAATACCTAGATATAGGGATTACGTAAAAGAAAACCCTGAAAAAACTGAAACAATTTATTTATTGCTAAATTTTTTGTAATGCTGGTTATTATTAGGATTGTCTGGCTCCTGCCGGTTGCTAATGGTCAAAAATAACGCCAACAGATATTGAAAATTTGAGCTCAATTATCTCGATTTCTGTAAGAGATATCAAAAATCTGTCAACTGATAAAATGTTGGTGATAGTGTGATTAACATTTTATCAGTTGACACATTTTTGATATCTCTTACAGTAATTAAGATAGTTGAGCTCAAAGTTACTAGCACAGTCTACAATTCTGCAAATCTGATTGTAACTATTCTTAGAATCTTCTGAATCTTCTGAAATTCGGATTCCATTTTCCCCTTACACCCCATTCTATTTTCTGCAGCAAATATCCACCTACCGCAAGCTGACCCAAAACCAGAACACTATTTCTAACAGAATTTGTCGGAAAAATCATTATAAAGATTTTTCATCTGTGATTAAATAACACCATTTATTAGATTTCGTTTTCCAATTATATATGTACAACTCTTATTTACTCATTTTTAGAATGTCAACAGATTTGACGTATAAGAAATACATTATTTGAAGTGTGATGATGATTTTTGAGAAAAATACGCTAACTTATTTTGGTTTATCCCTATAGGATAAAGCCAGATAAGTTGGATGATCAGCTGAAAATCTTCACGAACTCCTCGTAGTCGATTTCTCCGTTTCCTGAAAATTTTAGAATCTTAGAATTCGGAATCTAATGTTCTCAGAATTCTAGAAACTTAGAACCTTGGAACCTTGGAACCTTGGAACCTTAGAACCTTGGAACCTTGGAACCTTGGATCCTTGAAACCTTAAAATTCTAAAATCTTATTAACTTGGGAAGTCAAAATCTCAGGATCCCTAATACCTGAAACGGTTCAATTTCCTATTGTTTACAACTTCATTCCCTGAATCTCAAGATGCACGTCTTTAACTCCCTGGTCTCCCTGGAGTTTCCCCATGACATCAGTTCGTTTTCAGAACTTCCTCTCTCACGTCATTGCTCATCTCTTAAGTCCACCTATTGTTTTCTACCATAGTATTTCAAAAACTACTCACCATCACAATCAACTTCATTCATCATTTCCTCAACTTCACACTCATCGAAACACATTCCCATGTTAATCTGCAATAGACACAATAAGAATTAGTGATCATTTGGATTTTCTGGAAGTGACAAGTTCATAGAAACTTCTAGACACACGAACCATGAACAACTTGAACTCATTGGCAGTGATAACTCCGTTTCCGTCACGATCGAAGATTTTGAACGCCTCGCGAATCATTTCCGAGTCGGTTTCTTTCATGATTCTGGAAATTTAGTGGTTGAGATTAGAAAAAATAGGCTATTTCCATGCGTATGAGGTACTGAGCATTTTCACAAAACAAAAAAAAAAAATCTGGGTTGTATAAAGCCCAACCATAGTTCCATTTTTCCATATTCCTCTACCTCCCATATTCTCATATCAACACATAACTTGACCCATAATGGACGAACATTATTTCATGGTAGTTGACTTGTGATGGATGGTTCTAGAAAAATATAGAAAGGTTCAGAGGTATCTAGAAAGATCCAGATGGATCCAAAATGAACCAGCAGGGTCCAGAAAGAAAAAAAAACCCAAAAGGATCCAGAAAGATCCAGAAGGATCTAGAAGGGTCTAGAAGGATTCAGAATGCTCCAGAAAAATATAGAAGGATCCAGAAGAAATCAGAAAGAGCTATAATGATTCAGAAGGATTAAGAAGATCCCAGATGAATCCAGAACCAGCAGTACCGTATAATAGAGTTAGCCCCCAATGTTTGAACTGCTGAGCCACTACACAAAGGTACCTGCAGTCCAAGCGTGTGGAAAAATTATTTAAAAAAAACGTTCCAAATAAACAACACAAATCCCTTACCTGACCAAATCTATATGTGTATTTGTTTTTTGAATAACTTTCATATTGACGCTATTCCCGGTCCCCATGGGTACCGAGAGTTCGCTTTTCCTTCTAATTATTCTCACTTTGTCCCCATGAGACCCTTTTAGCCGCATTTTAGAACAACAATTCGTTTTTATGACCTACTTTGAGAGACCCTTTTAGTACGTCACTAATTCATTCTACTTTTTTAAAGATTGCTCATAAAAACTGCAATGTACGCAAAAATAGATCAAAGTGAAACGTTTCGCTAATTTATTCTAAACGAAAGTCATCATAACGCTTGAATTAATATGTGTGAGCTCTCAGGTGACGTTTGAGGGGGTAGGGAGAGGCATTTTGCATAGCTTTTGAAACATTTATGACATGAAAAAAGGAAGGAATTTCTAGTTGCCTTTTTTGGTCAGAAATAATATTGGCTATGCAGATTATTCTAATAGTAAGATTAGTTATTCACACTTTAATTTGACATTCACTTAACGTAATTGCTCTAATAGAAGCCGACCACTGTGAGCTCAATTATCAAAGTTCCTAGGAGAGATATAAAAATGTGTTAACTGACAAAATGTTTGTGATATTATGATAAACAATTTTTCCGTTGAAATTTTTTTGATAGCTTTCAAAGGAACCGAGATAAATTGGCTCAAATTATGGTGCTCTTCTATTACAGGTTTTACCGTAGTTGATATATATTCTGAAGATCCCAAAACTTTTGAAATATCTAGAACATAACAGCCAGCACCCAAGATTTTATAGGCAAACCTCAAATTAATAATACATGCGGACTTTACGTTTTGGGGTACCAGGTGAAAAATTTCGAACGAAATTTCAAATAAATTTCGAAGGTTCCGTTCTCCACTTTAGAATCTCAGAATTTTTAAATTTCTAAAATTCCAAAAATGCTGGATTCCTCTGGAACTTTTTGAATTTTCCTAGCTTATGCTAGACTTTTTCGGATCTTTCTAGAACGTCCTGGATCTTTCTAGATACTTCTGAATCCTTTTAAAAACTTTCGAATCTCTCTGGATCCTCCTGGACCCTTCTGGAGGCTCTAAGAACCGTATAGATCCTACTGGTTTCTTTTAGATCCTTTTTGAGACGTCTGGATTCTTCTAGATCCCTCTGAATCCTTCTGTATTTTTCAAGACATTCCTGTCTAGATCCTTCTAAATCTTTCTGCAACATTCTGGATTGTTATGAATTCTCCGGGCTTCTCCTGGATCCTTCAGGACGCCTCGGGACGCGTCTGAGTTCATTAGGATCTTTCTAGCTCTTTCTAGACCCTTCAGGACTGTTCTGGATCCTACCAGATCCTTCTAGATCCTTCCGGACGCACCGATTATTCTGCATCTTCAAAACAAATGCAATTTCCTGTGCTCTACCTTCATTTCCTTTCTCTCTCAAAAGTTTTCCATATAAAGTTCCACACCATTAATCCCCCCTCTCTCAAATTTCTATTTCTGTTTCAAAATCCTTTCCTTTTCCAAAACCTCATGACGTTTCCCTCTGTCACTCATCCCTCTTGAAAATCCCATTTTCCACTATACCAGACTACTATAAATCTGCCTATTTCACTTCAGACGACCGACTCGGTTGCCCCTAGAAATGTGAGGAAACTTGGCTCCGCCCACTTTTTTCGCTCGTATTTCTGTTGTGCTCTCGGGGAGATATGTAAGTCGTACTAGTTGTACCTTTTCATCATAACACAAAATTCGGGAAACTCGACTTGTCCGTTTCCATCCAAATCCACGTCGTGAATGATTTCCATCATTTGCTGAAATATTTTGGGTTACTGTAGTTTTATTGAGAAGTTGTTTTTGAAGCTTTAGCTTTCAAAAGCGCTAGTTTCTTCCAAGCTTAGGACCCAAATACTGGACCCACCTAGTCTAACCTCCTGTGACTGAGTCCCGTCCTTTTTAACCTACAGTAATCCTTACCTGTTCTGTTGGATTCTGTCCAAGTGCTCTCATTGCCACACCCAATTCTTTGATCGAAATCGTGCCGTTTCCGTCCTGGAAAACAATTCATGACTAGGCTGTTATTTATGTTTCTTTCTTTTTTCGTATTGTTCCCCCCATTTGCCATTCCTCATGAATGTCTAACAAACGTTCGTTTTTTTTTGACGAGACAATTGGAGAAAAAAAGCTAGGAATCCTAATTCTCAACGGTAACATTTACCTTGTCAAACAGGAGAAATGCTTCTTTGAACTCGTGAATTTCCTCCTCGGTTAGTTGGGAAATTACCATTTTTGATTCTTCGAACACCTCTTGGAGGGTCCTGGTTCGCATGACCGACATGATGACGCGCTGGAAATATAGCTAGAAGTTTTGAAATTTGAAAGATTTAAGAGTCAGGCAGGGCTAGACAAAATTGAGCTCTGCAATCAAAAAGTCAGTAGTAGACCCCCGTTTTCTATGACCTAGAATTTAAAATTAAAATGTCAAATTTCACCTACTGTGCATTTTGAGATTACCTATCTCATTTCCTGTGAAATATATCAAAAAGTGGTCAACTAACAAAATGTTTATCATAATATCAAAAATATTTTATCAGTTGAGAAATTTGTGATATCTTGTATAACAATTGAGATAATTCAGGTGTTTTCCTCCCGTGTCACTATCAGTAACAGCTAGAACTTTGAGCTTACTTATTTCAGTTCTTGTGCGAGATATCAAAAATGTGTCAACTGATGAAATGTTGGTGATTATATGATAAACAATTTACTAGTTGAAAATTTTTCTGATATCTCTCATAAGAACCGATATGATTAAGCTCATTGAGGCAAGTACGGTGTTCCTTTCGAAGCTTCCAAAATTCAAAATAAGAAACCAACCAAAAAACTGGCCTAGAGAAAATTTTAAGCTAGTTGTGTTCCGTTCCGGAAGCCTAGAAAGTAAAAAAAAATCAAAGAACTCGTAAAATTTTCAAAAAATATGAAAAATAATTCTAAAATAGCAAGAAAAATGTTGTGGGCTCTTCCAATTGACTGTATCAATTTCTTTTTCTTTCTCTGTACCCCCGAAAATCTCTTTTCATCTTTTTTTGTCCGCCTTTTTGCTCATAGCCTTTGCGAAATGTTCAAGAGCTTTTTTTCTCTGCGCTCTCTTCATATTCCCTACTATTTATTTTCTTGAATGGGCATTGGTGTGATCAATCGTCATTTCAAATAAAAAAAGAGAGGCAAATGCTCAAGTTGACGGTGGTCTCCTATCTTGTTGTAAGAGTTCATAGATAGAGAAGCAGTATTACACCAATATAGGTGGATCCACGAGAATCCCACGTGGATCACAGGGATCGGATTACTGTAGTAGTAGTCCATTAAGACAAATTCTATGAATGAAAACAATAAAAACAGAGTGTGACCGCTTTGAATCCATTGGGGGACTTATAGTGTGACGTAGCCTACTCTATACCTATTGTTATTTGTTAATCCCGTCTCACGTTGTATACATCTTGAGGCTTTTTATGAATGGATTTGTAATTTTCGGACTTTGAGATATTTTCAGATTTGGACTAATTTTTCGAAGATGATCGCGAGACTCATCGTTTTGTTCTTTGTCATTTTGGGAGTTGTTGGAGCATGGACTGTCGATGGTAAGGCGAATTGAACTACTGTATTTTGAGCTCAATTGTCTCGGTTTCTAATGAGGGATATCAAAACATTTTCAACTAGTAAATTGTTTATCATATTACCACCGATATTTTATCAGTCTAAAATTTTAGATAGCTTTTATAGGAACCGGGATATATGGGTTCAAAGTTGAAAGTTCGGGTAGTGTTCTATTAAGGTTGCGGTAGGTGTACTTTGAGCTCAAGTATTTCGGCTCTTACCGAAGATATCAAAAATTTGTCAACTGATTTAATATTGGTGATAAAATGATGAACAATTTATTAGTTAACAATGTTTAGATAGCTTTTATGGAAACCGAGATAATGATATAATTGCGCTCAAAAGGTGGGCTTCTATTAGAGCATTAACCGTAAATGTCCTAATAGAAGCCCATGCTATACGTCCACTCGGTTTCTATCAGAGCTATCAAAAATCTGTCAGCTAACAAATTGTTCATCATGAAATCAAAAATGGTTTGTCTGTTTACAAATTTTTACTATCTCGCATATTAATTGAGATAATTGAGCTCGTTAATGTATAGTTGGTGGGCTCATATTAGAGCCCTGACGGTATTTTAACTAGCTTGAAGGTTTTAAAAACTTGAAATGATGCTTTTTTCGGAGATGCTGTGAGCCATGTTCAAAATTTAAATTGTTTTCATAGACCCCAAGCAATGAGTTGTTCTAAAAATCAACATGACTCAAGCTTAAACCAATGTTATCCAAAAGTTTCTATGCTGAAAACCCAACTCACCGCATTTCTGGACATTGTCTCTTCAAACGAAAGCCAAAAGCTCTTTGGAAGTTTCGGGAATCCATGCTTGATGTTAAATTTTATAGTAGCCGGTACCGTAGGATGATGGTGTTGACCCTTGTGTCCTTTCGTCGAAGCGACACGAAAACATTTCGCCGATAGCTCAATTTTTCGATCAGACACGAAAATATTTGACATGACTTGTGTGTGATACCAAATCAAATGAGTGTTTTGTATAGTAAAATGCCTTTTCGATCAAAAATTCGAAAAGAAAAATGAAATCGAAAACAGTGGGGCAAGATTTATATACTGTCATTGGGATTCCCACATTCAAACTTTCCCACGGTGAAGTGTTGCAGGTGTCGAAGCTCAATTGCCCGAGCACCAATACTCGCGCGGTCACGAGGCCAACTTCTTTCGCCAACGACTTCTTTCGGCGTTCAGGTTTGTAGTTTGTAGTCTCAATTACAAAACATGAAACTTTTTACAGAACCATCGATCCACAAGTCTCCGAAAGCACTTTGAACCGATTCACACGCTTCGTCAGGGAGGAGAATGAATAATTAATACCTAATTGGATCTATGTATGATGATCTCAAAAACCAAATATTTTGTGTGATTTAATGAAGTGAATTGGCTTGTTTTCTTGTGAAATTGTTGCGTTATAGACATTAGGTCAAACACCATGGGTTCAAACATTCAAGCAAATGAAAAGATGCTAAATTGAGTTATCGTGTGACTGGCGGGAAAAGGAAAGTGAGGTATTTGTGTCGTGTGCAAGAAAAGATATCAAAGCTGATACAAAGAACAAAACTGGGGAAAGAATCAGGAATGTGGAACATTCAATTGATGGTTTACCTGATTCTTGTTCAATTATCTCGGTTCCCATGGGAAATATAAAAAATCTGCACACTGATAAAATATTGCTGATATTATGATTAATATTTTATCAGTTCACAGACTTTTGATATAAGACGGTTGAAATTTGAAGAATTTTTTCGCATGTATAGAAACAGCTCGAATTGATGATTTCATGTACCATGTAGCCTTTATTTCAGTTTCACCAGATATCTGAATTTTCTGTACAAAAATTATGAATATTCCAGAAATTAGTCAAAGTTATAGAAAATGTTTATTTGATGGATCTGAAAATGATCTTGAACGAAAAAATAGGTGGACAAATTGAAATTGGACAGTGTAGTAGTAGTTTTCTCAAATCCAGGTGACAACCAATCTTCCTGCACTTTGAACTCCTTGTTGCTCTGTGCCTTCTTTTCTTCTACAGGTACAGAATCGGTTTATCTCCCGATTTTGTACTTTTTTAAAGGAAAAAGTGGTCACGCCAAATTCAAGTATCATTTGAATTGTGCCACGAGGCACAAAATCGGTAGGCAAACCGATTCTGTACCTAGTGAAACAATTCAAATTTTCTCTGATTTCACGTGTCTTTTTGTGGATTTTGAAACATTACTCATGAAATCCGATTTTGAACCAATTTTTTGATCGACACTAACTTTCCACAATACGCTTATTTGGGTGAGAGGGATATCTGAAATTTAAGATATTTTGAAGCTAATCCGACG